CCTGGAGTCACATCGATTAAAGTCAGAGACTCTGACAAATACAACCCTTCGTCGTGATCGTCGCGAGGACCTCTGGGGATAGATCCTGTCCTAAACCCTGAACCCTAAACCCTAAACCCTAAACCCTAAACACAGGCTCTAGCCCGAAGCCCTGAAGCCGAACCGCGAAGTCGTGAGAAGCCGAGGTCATTGCAGGTCGAGGGTGTCCCAAATCCGTCCACTTCATATATCATAGTCATAGTATATTCTAGAAAAAGGGTATATCATAGTCATAGTACATTCTAGCAAAAAAAGGTACCTCATAGTACTTTAAAGTTTGTTGTAGGTTTCCTAGTTATAGCTTTCTGGATCCTGCTTGTTCTTCTGGGGTTTAGATTCGGCCTCGGGCCAACTGGCGTTGGAAAAGCCGCAATAAGCACGAATGGTTCGATTGAGAGCACGGCAAACCAATGCCCGAAAAGCGAAACTCTAAACCCCTAAACCCCTAAACCCTAAACCCTTGAAAGCCCCAAACTCTGAACCTCTAAACCCTAAACCCTTGAAAGCCCTAAACTCTGAACTCCTAAACCCGAAGCCCCAGCGCAGGAGTACTACGACGTTGCCTTCGACTTCGGAGTCGTCGACCTGGTAAAGATTCCAGATGACCTGCCAGAAGGCTGCCTGGCTTCTTCAGGTTTTGGGTTTAGGGTTCTAGGGCTTTAGGGTCTTTTTTAGGTTTTGGGTTTTGGGTTTAGGGTTTTAGGGCTTTAGGGTCTTTTTTAGGTTTTGGGTTTGGGGTTTAGGGTTTTAGGGCTTTAGGGTCTAGGGTTTAGGGTTTAGGGTTTGTGTCGTTTCGGGTTTATACCGATGCGGCTTTAGTGCACCGAAGATCCGAAATCTTCATCTCTAAACCCTAAACCCTAAACCCTAAACCCTAAACCCTAAACCCTAAACCCTAAACCCTAAACCGACCTCGGGCCGAGCCCTCGTTGCACCCGTCCTGGGGCATGGTGCGGGAAGGAGGTTCCGGGGGTTCAGAGTTCTGGAAAGCACGGCTTCCAGATGGACCACGAATAAAAGCAGAAGAACAGCTGCTGCAGCTGGATCGAAGAAGGCCTAGCAGGGTTTATTTTCCCATCTTCTTGGAAAAGAACACTAGCCACGCCGGCTTCTGTGCTGGGATCTCGGCAAGGGGCGAATTGTCGGAGCCCCCTGCACCCACCCGCCCTATCGCCCGGCACCTCAACACAGAAAAGGGACAATCAAGCTGAAGGCGCCATGATTATTATTATGACTTTGTTAATGTTGTTGTCTTCTATGTGTATGTATATGTACATGTATATGCATATGTATATGTACATATATATATATATATGCGTATATATATATATATACACACTTTATATATATATATATATATATACACCTATTTATCTATCTGTATATATATATATACACACACACATACAATGAATTAACCCTGGCCCAAAGTCCCGAACCGTCGGGTTCGGTGTTCTTTGGTTTTAGGTCTTCGGGGACGTAGGGTGTAGGGTTGATCGTCCAGCTCCTAAGCCATACTTTAGGGGCCTTGATGATTTTAACAGGGTGTGGTACATTATACTACAACTATAATAAGGAACCCACAAAACCCTTTTCTAATTGTTAACGCCCCTACAGTACCGTATTCTAGCCCCAAAGCGAGGCCAACCATTCCTCAACCGTAGTCTTCGACTCGAAAATCGAAAAGTCCTATGCCAAGAAACGCCGAAGCAAGAGTCAGCAAATCTTTTCTTAAGCCCAAAAACCCTGATGATGATCATGATTATGATTCTTGTTGTTACCGTTGTGGTTACTGAATCCTAAACCCAAAAACTCGAAAGGCACACGTGTCTGAAGTAAGCGCCAAGGCCATTACATTCTGGGATTTCGCTGGGCCCCCCGGCCCAAGAGGTCTGGCTTTGTGCGGCTGTGCTGGGGTTTGGGGTTTAGGGTTT